CCTTGGTCGACGTCGAAGTCGAAGCCTTGGTCGAAGTCGAAGTTGAAGCCTTGGTCGACGTCGAAGTCGAAGCCTTGGTTGAAGTCGAAGTTGAAGCCTTGGTCGAAGTTGAAGCCTTGGTCGAAGTTGAAGTTGAAGCCTTTGTGCTGCTAGCAACCGATTTTGGGCCAAGTTGGTAAACCTTGACTCCATTGAAAAGCCAGTATGCGTCCTTGTATTTGCTCGGGTTTGCGGCGACATAGGATGCACAGCTGGCGTATTTGGTTGGGTTGGACTTGTAGCAAGTAGTCGCTTGCCAGAAGACATCCTGGCCAGCATAATCACCACAGAAGGTCGTGTCGATGATCAGGTTGTGGTTCTTGAACTGTTTCGCAACATCGCAAGAGCCTCCAACGGTGGTGATGGTGGCCTTGCGCCATTTGGTCGGGTCTGGGTTTGCGCTCAATGCGTCGATACCATCGGCACTGAGGCGAGGGAAGTTCCAGACCTTAATAGTCGTTCCGGTCCATTCCTATAATAACTGTCAGTAGGAATCGGGAACCAATGTCTGTCCGTACTTACCAGCGCGTAGATCCCACCACCAACGGAGTTGAAGCCGTCGCCATAGTTGTTGGTGGAGTCGGTACTGTCAACAGAGCAACCTTGGTTCTCCCACTGAGTTACATGGTCTGCGTAGTAGTTGGAGCAGTGCGAAGTAACTAAGCTTCCTCCCTGAGCAGCCTTGGAAAGGGTGCAGTCCGTAGTCCCTGTGTGCAGGGTGACGGCATTCTGCTTGGCCTCGCTGATATTCTCGATGATATCAATCTCACCATCATTTGGCCAGTTTTGCTGTCCGGAAGTCCAGAAGGCCGGCCACACACCACAGACGGATGAGGGCATGTGGGCAATATCGGCGATGAAGAGGCCTCCATTATAGAGCTTCTTGCTTTCCACACGGACACTAGCCCTTCCGCGTTTGTTTAGGTCCGTATAAACAGTCGTCGAGTCAACTCCCATGTATGCTTGTCCAAGTGCGTTGACACTGATCAACCCTTGGCTCTTTGCTTGACCCTGTGACTTGAAGTCGACGAATCCATGGGTCGGGTCAACATCCTATCAATTTTCAGCATTGCACGATACGCGACACCAACAATACATACGTTAATGAAGTTGAACTGATCAAAGAAAGTCTGTCCCTGGTATACATCTGCAACCTTGTACTCGGTTGGTGTAACGACAGCTGCCGCTGCGGCGGATGATGTGAAAGCAGCCAAGGCGACGGCGCCGGCCTTGACAAAGACTGATGAAGGGGCCATAATATAAATTAAAATTCAAAACAAGAAGCGTAACGACTGTGGTATCGATGAATCGATAAAGGAGAGTTGACAAGCAGATCCCAAAAAGAGTGATGGGCGTTGAAGTCAAAAGCACTGCAGGATCAAGCTTTGAGAGAGAAGGGGCAGGCACACTATATGAGAGAACTCACCCTTCAGCCCCAGATGATGAATATTGACTGGGGCGTCTGTGCCTATCGTCGTCTTCCATGGGCATGAATACGAACCTGAGTGTTGGGTCCTTCAGCACGGAGTATATCCGCCGTATCTCCATTTGCATAGGTATCATTGGCCCTCATGGGTAATACCAAGACCAAATGCTATCTTTTCTCTCGTACCTGGACCCCGTGGGGTTCAGGAACAGGTATGGTCCACGGGTAATGTGAATTTGCAAAGGTCGAGTCACGGTGAGAATAAACAGTCTAGTGGTGACAGAGTCCTGCTACGCCGCAAATGTGCATGAAGCAGGGTCCAGCCGGAAGCCGGATTGGCTTACAGATCAGTCTAGAATAGACACACACGACGAATTGTCATATAGCCTCATCTCGGACTTGTGGGACTTGTGTTGGATGTCCTGGATTGGATAAGGCGTGGACCGAGCGTATATTGGGAATTATCGCTTCCACTCACAGGCCTCCAACATGCATATGGTGGCTGGGCTCCTGTCCATATACGGAAATTAGCCAATAATCGAGTTATGAAATGCAGGTACCTTTCATACTAACGATCGGAACAAGCTCCGCGGCGTCTTCCCGTCTTCCCACCACATGGAGACCAGGTCAGAGATCAGCTCTGATCAGCACACTTTGATCGAAGGTTCTTCTATTTAAGCTGCACCCTAAACACGCAGAGAGTAACACGTTTGTAGATCCGTAGGACAGAACAGACGCAAGACGCGGGGAACTGTGAAGTTCAAGCACCGCCCATATAAGATCAATAGTACTAGTAAAGAGGCAAAAGAAAAGCTTTATTGAGATATGGTGGGCCTGACATCCAGTAGTGCCCTGTCCTTGCCGCTGAGTGTAGCGCTGCCTAATTATACATACTCCGTTAGTTGGGATGGTTGGGGAAAGCAGAGGTCGCTTGGCTCTCCTTCTGGCTCCTTCGTCAGTTTTCCACTGTCAATGGTGGTATCACGTGACTACACATATAAACAGAGCAAACATAGCAAACTAGCCGTAGGTGTGTGTATCTCATGGAAGGTTCGACAACATCACCATAGAAATTATTGGGCGTGTTATATGCTCTAACACACATTGACACCTTCAATTTTTTTACTAAAACTACTCTAAAGACCCTTGAATACTTCAAGATGCCTTTAGATTACAGTAAATGGGTATGTACTTAACTCCCATCTAAATCCGAAGCTTTATTCTCTACCCCACCAACCCCGCGTTGTCCAAGGCTGACCACCACCTCAGGATGCTCTCGAGCTGAGTGACGACTCGGACATCGAAGTTCACCCAAACGTGGACAAACGCTCCTTTATCCGCGCGAAGCAGAATCAAATCCACCAAGAGCGTGATCACCGCAAGCTCCAAATTGCCACATTTAAATATGAGCGCATCATCAATGACGGTTTCCTCAAGCGTATTGAGGGGCTCCTCAAGGCTTTAGAATCCCACAAGTCTGAGGCCGAATCTCGTAATGCCGATGAAATTATATTCCAATCTCTTATGGAATCAGCAGATCCAGACAATGATCAGCCCCCTGCAAGACCACAGGGTGTCCACACGGACGAGAAGGAGCTGCCTTCATACTCCAAAATGATTGCCACCCTCATCGACCAGGTTAAAGCCACAGTCGCAGAAAAGAACGTGGCCGACTCTAACAAGCTGCCCGCGTACCTTGAAGAAGTGAAGCAGCACAAGGCAAAAGTGGACGACCTACAGCGCCAACTCAATGAGAAACTCACGGAGCTCGAGCTCACCGATAGCAAGAAAATCACCAGCGAAAGCATACACACCGGCTTCGACTCCTCTTCCGTCAACAAATCCAACCCTCCTCCACCTACAACAGCAAAACCCTCTGGTGCGAAACCAAGAGCCAAGAAAGTTGAAGTCCTGAATCCGCAAGCCCTTGACAAGACACCCAGCCGAGATTCCGGCGCAGACGCCGATGTCGACGAGCCTATAGCAGCAGCACCAGGTGACTCCTCCGACGATGAAGAACACCACGCTACTGAAATTGGCAAGAAATTTGCACGCATCAAGATGGGCGACTACCGCGCCTGCGTCAACTTCATCGGGGAGCATCCCGAGGTGATCGCCGAGCGTGAGACAGACGGCCTCTTAATCATGGCGTTCGACGCCGAGCTTGCCGGAAAATCCAGCGTGGCACAGCAGTGTGTCCACCAAGCACTACTGTTGCAATACTGCAGGACGCTCGGACGCGACGGTGTCGGCTTGTTCTTCAAGCGCATCACTACCCCAGGACATCAGGCGCAGAAGGTCTTCACGGACGACGTAAAGGATACGTACCTGCGTATCCACAAGCGCGCGAAGGAGATCCTGAAGGAGCGCGAGAAGGAAGAGGAGGCCGGAGGCGTGGAGCAGATCCAGCTGCATGCCGTGGAGCCAGGGACTGAGATCAAGATTTTCGTGCCGCCGAAGGAGCTGCTTGAGTCGGCGGATGAGGAGGAACGGAGGAGTCGCGAGATCTTCGAGGCCTTCCCGCCTGGACTGCAGCGTGCGCTGGAGAGTGCGAGTCTTGATGAGGTCAATAAGGTGCTGGGGAAAATGAGTGTAGATGAGGCTGAGGAGGTGGTGGGGCAGCTGAGTGAAGGGGGGATGTTGAGTTTGGGGGAGCAGATTATTGATACCACGACGGCCGAGGGGCAGGCTGAGTTGAAGAGGCTGGAGGAGGAGGAGAAGGAGTCGAAAGAGGAGAGGGAGAAGTTGGACAAGTATGCTGGGGACCCAGAGTGAATAGAATGAACCAGGAGCATGTTGCGTGGGATAGCGACGAGTAGTCACTCGCTCTCAAAAATGCATCTTGCACCTTAAAATAGTGTATTTACATACCAATATTATTTACCACTACTCGTCTTGTAAGTCAGCAAAGCGATTCGTTGAAGCAGCCCGACAAAACTTTTCCTATGTTTAAATTATCCGCGGACGCGGTCACGATAGTTGCAATTTAAAAGTTAAGTGACTTGTTCTGTTCCTATCTGCCCAGGCAGCTTATATCATACACAAACGTTACAAATAACCAGCGGCCTTCTCTCCATCTAGCTGCACCGCCTACAAGCCCCATACTATTCCGCCGAAAATAATATTGATCACACTTCCAAATGGCTCAAACCATTTCATTGAACGTCAGTACGCCTTTACTGTCTATTTCAGACGGCCTGTGTCCCAGATAGTGGCGTCTAATACGGCCCAGTTGAATCTTTCCTCAGAATCTCCGCCACATCATCATCAATCCCGTCCATGTCATCACCGCCCATCTCAGGGAAGTCATAAGCCAGATTCATCTTTCGCCTCTTATTCGCGCTGCCCTCGCCGTTCTCGTGCCCATTAGTTGCGGAGAGCTGGCCGTAAGGGCCGGCGGAGAGGCTAGCAAGGAGGTCTGAGCCAGGAGCCGAGGAAAACGATTGAGTGGCTGTTTCTACTGATGGTTGGCTTACGTCGGCTTGTGCCTCAGGGGCGGGAGGCGGGGTAGTTGCCTCGAAGGGAGGTGGAGTCAAAGCTTCGACTTCGGGCCTGTCGGCTTCTGGAGCTGGCGTGGTCGGTGAATGTGATTGCCCGGGAGTTGCATCAGTGGGCGTAGCAGGATTGCTGCCGGTACCAAAGCCCTTCATTATGACATCCTCAACTTCGCGCTTCTTGGAATCGATTTCTGTGCGCTGAGCTGAGAGATCGGCAAGCTGTTCCTGCTCCTTCAAAAGAATGGTGCGGTTCGAATTGAGGATTTTCTCGAGGCCTTCGATGAGGAGGGTGCGCGCTTTAATGCTTTCGGCCACGGCCCCTTCGGCGTTGGCGAGGGTCTTGAGGAGACCGTTTAGGCGTGCGGCGTGGACTGGAGCAGATGGAGGAACTGCAGCTGGGTCGGTGAGCTTTTCATAATCCATGGTAGCAGCATTGACGGCGGTTTTTGTAGGTGCTGCAAGCTTCGTGAGGGCTTGTTGTGGAGCGACGAGTGGCACAAGCTCTGTTGGGACAGAGGCGCCACCTTTGGAAAATATACCGCCATCGCCGAAGCCTCGTTTGCCAGACGACTTGTTTTTATCAAGTTCATCAATACGAGACTCTATGGAGTCTTGGATTGGTGTCTCAAATATCTGTCGCTGCCTCCAGACTTCAACGACGCGCCTCAGTTTTTGTTGGACGTCGTTTGTGGCTCCTTTGTAAGCAGTTGCTGTTGCTTCTGCGATGACCGGCGAGAATGCAATCAGGAAGTCGTCCTTCTTGCGGGCTTTTGATTGCTGTGCTACCTCTGTATGAATAGTTAGCATGGCTCCTACGATCTCGGCGATTTCAACATGATGATTGCTGGGGGATACAACGTACCATTGGCGAGGTAAACCAGGTTCAATCTCTTATTGCTATTGGAGTCCTTGAGGCGCTGGAGCCAGAGCTGGCCCGTCCTATCTGCATGTCTCCTGTTTGCGAGTGTCAGTAACTGCATAGTGCCGCTGAGTCTGATTCATTTGCGTTTCGTACCTGTGGAACATCACCCATTGGGCGACAGTGACGATGCTTTCTTGAGTCTCATTGAGAGCGGAAAGCTTCGCAAGGACGGCATCATCAGTGTAGGCCATGATTTGCAGCTTTGGCAGGTATAAGTTGATTAAATTTCGCAATATATGGATCGGCGATGAGTTTCTTGGTTTGTTGATTCCGACTACAAAGCCTTGCGTCGAACGGCGATGTTTGTGGTTATGGCAATTATCTCAGCAATCAAGCAATATTGTTATGGTGCTCTTCAAAGAGAGGACTTGTAGAGAAGGCAATATAGGGGATATGTTCCACTACATGTAGGCATGAGGAGTTGCATATGAGAGTTGTTGCATGTACGTGGTGATAGCTAAAGCTGATACTGTAGCTGCAGCGCTGTGGGGCTTTATTGTGAGGGCGTCTCGGGTAGTTCCGTGGGGTCGACCTCCAGGTCCCAACTTCATGGCCCTTCAGACCAAGCGTCGCATCTAACCCTATAATTCGCATCAACGATCACCAAACCATCCTCAATCCCGTCATAACAATAAATACAATATGGCGGATAGATTCCCTTCCCTCGAAGAGTTTGACTCCGGAGGTAAGCACTTTATAGAGGTGATCTCATTCTGGCTTATCTGACAACACCGTAGCCCAAACCGAGAGCAAGGGAGAGGCCAACTTCGATGTCAGCTCCCCAGCCGGCGACGACTTCCTCTCTCGTGAGAGGGCAGTTCTAGGAGAAGATGCCACCCAATTCGCGTCGAAGAACGACAAGGCCGCTTTCGTGGATGATGATGACGAAGACGATCTGCTTGGTGGAGGCAACAACGGAGGAGAGGAGGTGACTGAGTTCCAGAACAACTATCCTGACGTCAATGCCAACGATAATGTCCGCATCCCAAAAGCCTTTATCGCCTTGACAGATTATACTGACAAATCACAGTTCGGTCCCACTGGTGGCGCCATAACCTCAAGCAACTACCCATCCTCTTACACCCCCCCAAGCAACGAGCCAGAACCAGAAGTTGTCCGTGAATGGCGCGAGCGCAGAGACCTTGCTTTACAAGATCGCGAAGAGAAGTCGGAGCAAAAGAAGGCAGAGACTATCAAGGACGCCCAGCAGAACATCGACGATTTCTACGATAACTACAACCAAAAGAAGGAGAAGACTGTCGCCCAAACGCGCCGTGAAGCCGAGGAGTTCCTTGCGAACAGAGAGGACACCAGCGCCGGGGGCACCAGCTGGGAGCGCATTGCGAAGCTCGTGGATCTCAGCGGAAAGGGTACCAAGGGAGGCGCCAGCGGAACTGGAAAGGAGAAGTTCAGGGAGCTGCTGCTTAACTTGAAGAAGGATGAGAAAGCTCCAGGTGCAAGTGGACTTTAAGTGCTGCGTCGTTGGGCTTGTAAATTATATTGCGTTAAGGGTATTTGAGACGGAGCCAGATCTCACTCCCTGAAACTGGCTGGCGTTAGGAGAATAATAATCCGTCATACACTACCATAGTTAATCCCTTTTGCTAAAAGCGTGATATTTACCCCACAACTGGCACTGTTTGAGCCTGGTGCCTTATTGCATTTGTAATATGTGGTTGGTTCGATCGATCTAACACTGTAAAATGCAACCTGACATTTGGTTCACCTAAATACCAACAGCGGAACTCTATATTTCAGTCAAATAGCCATCTTAACGATAGATCACGGCATACGGGACACAAAGACACTAATATCCTCCTCGGAAGCTCATTCTGATGGGGATGCACATGTTTTTCGATACAAATGAGATGTAATGAGATTGCGGCGACCTGTTCAATGTCTTCTATCTTCATGTACAGTACAATAATCGTCCAGATGCCGCCATCAGTGGTATGTCCAATCCCCGTTTACCCATTGGCCTATCATCTCCTAGTTCTTGCCGAACCACGTCTTGTGTCCGAGAACCATGCGGCTCATCATGTACATCGACCCTATATTGAACGTCAGGAAAAGCTCGGAACTTCGACTGTTGCGCCACGCAACCAGATAAAAGCTTACCAGCCAAGCCACCGAAGAGGATGGTGTAGTATGGGTAGAGAAGGATCTTGCTTCTTGCGGTCTGTATGACGAAGTTAGTTCCAAGTTCAAATATTTGTCTTCCCTGCCGAGCAAACGGGTTGTCGAAGACGTGGGAGGCAGCATACCTGGTTCCATTGGCGGACACCATTCTTTTGGCCCTCCTGGAATAGGCGCTGGTAGTAAGGGACGCGATTCTCGCGGTTGACGAAGCTGTCGGCAAAGATTGATTAGCATTCTATTCGGATAGTTCTGGATCGGGTGAGGAGCCATTGGAAGGGCAACGTGGTGCCTGAGCGTAGCAGGTTTGCGCATAGTGTGTACACAACTTTTGACTTACCCTGCCATTGTGTCTTGTTGTGAATTGAAGCGCTTAAGAGTGGTTGAGTTGTTGCGATGCGTTGCGTGGGCTGATGAGCAGTGAAGTTCCGAGGACATCGGAGGAACCAGGTTCGGATGACTAAGCGGGATTTGCTCGGCGATCAAATACCTACGTACATAAATTCTTGGTGCTAGGGTGCCAGTATGACTTTTGCTCCAGAGAAACACAGTGGCGATGGCATCTGTAATGCTATATCATGCTACTAGGCTAACGGTTATGAAATAGTATGCGCCCAGCGCTTCAAAGGCTTCTTTCAAGGCCTTCGTCGCTGGATTTATTGCGGCTCATCGTCGATGGCCCGCTGTGCATGAATTCGACGTTGCCTCAATACAGAAGCCAATCGCTGAGGCCACGACGAACCTCAGCTTACAGTTCGACATCAAAAGCCAAATCTTCAAATAAACTATCTATAACGCCTTCGGATAATAGCGATGCCCGACTGGAAATATCGAATCGGAAAGGAGGGAGGCCGTACACATCTTGTACTCGGCAGCAGAAGCACGAAGCTCATGGACAGCTACCCAGTGTACGACCTGAAGTCCAAAACAATACTTTTACCAAGCGGGGTATAAACGAAGCCGAACCTATACCAAAACTGTCCGATTTAGACTTGAAATCCGTTGTTGACGAGCTGAAGAAACGTCAATTGAACACTTCAACCGCAAGGTCTTTCGGAAATACGGTTGAACAAGAGAGCACGGAGCGGCTGTGGAGTTATGTGGAGTGTGGACTGCATCAGGATGGCAGTGAAGCCGTGCGAGATATATGGGAGTATATCAGGTCGACAGGCTTGCATCTCCCTGTGCAGGGTCCTTCAGCAATGAGCAAAGGCGGCCTGGCGGACAATATCTGGGTGCCTATCGTCGAACTTGGGTTTAAAGAACCCGAAACATTGGACGGTATATGCCAATATGCCAATGAAATGTACGATGCGTCTGGGACACGGTGGTTAAAGCTTTACTTCTATGTTATTCAACATATGCTTCTAAATCATCGTGGCTCTGATGCCGTTCACTGGCACGATATCTTGTCGCGTCGTCACCGCCCTGGACCAGCGACCTTTCAGCGTCTGATGCGAAATGTCATTATTTCCAAGGAGGGAGACCACAAGGCCCTGAAAAAGATTTATATCCGGAATCCATACCGGTCAATATACTCGAAAATTGTCCCCGTTTTGCTTCAGAATCAAGAATTTGATAAAGCTTTCGATTGGCACATGTTTCTGCAACATCATCGCGATTTACCTCTCAATGCGGACATTGTTCAGCCGCTGATACAATACTTCTCCATATTCGACCCAAAGACGGCAAAGGGGATCTCAAGTGGCCTCACAGCTTCTGGTAACAGCTTGGCCCTCGGAACAACGACAGAAGGAGGCGAGGATAAGTCTGACTCTCGAGAGGACATGCTGAGCATAATGAGTGGCGAGGCCCCAGGCTCTGTAGTAAAGGGGTCGCAAGCCGACCTGTGGGTTGCCCGTTGGTTTGCAACGAAATGGGTGACGTTGGACATCGCCATCAATACTGCGCATGCTCTGAAAGTCGAATCTATCGGACCACTTGCATTACAGGCGATTGCTCTCCGTGAGCCAGTAGCTGCAGATATCACAAGCAGAATAGGCCAGCTGGAACAGCGCGGTATCGGTGTTGGACAATCGACATATTCAAAGGCGCTGACATCATTCGCAAAGCGAGGCCAGCAAGGCCTTTTGGAAGCCCTATTAGAAAGTGACCAGCATCCACTATCTTTCGATGACCGGGTTCTGCAGGAGAAGTTGTTGACGGCCTATGCGAAGGCAGGCGATTGGCGTCAACACCAACTTATCTTGGCTGTGCAACTTGCCAGCGCTATTGATCCAGTGATGGAACAATACAACATGCAGCTCCGTAACCATGCAACACAGAGAGACCAAGCGGCGATAGTCAAGGTACTGGAAACTATGCGCATGAATCGAATCGCCGTAGAGATTGCAACAATACGCTTTATCCTGCGAGCTATACTTCGTCCTCGAACCCGTGGCCATGGGCCAGACAACTCAGTACCCGGATATGTGGAACAAGATATTGGCCTGGCCATCTCAATTCTGAAGAACATTATGGAGTACAATAGATTCGTCCCTATAACGGTATGGCGCGAGGTGACACGGAGACTAGGCATGTTGGGTCGAATGAACGACCTTCATGGCCTCAGCCTGTGGCTCGTCGACCAATACGGCCCCGATAATAATGGACGCACTCGAATATTAGGCACCAGTCCGACGCTTCCTACCCGCCAGCCTCAGCTCTCAACCGGCCACCCACTGCATCCTCTTCGACTATTATTCTCGGACGTCAGGCAGCGCTCAATTGTGGAATGGGGCTTCATCTGGGGCCTGATGTCATATGCCACGTCAGTGGGTTCTAGCCCAGGGCTCATAGCAGCAACCACTGCCGAAGAACAGAAGAACCTTGCTTTGGAGCAGATGACGCAAGGAATCCGTTTCGTGAAAGAGCTGCAGAAACGTGGTGTTTATATCAAAGAGAGCAGTGTCCGCCGCGCGGTGCGGGTGCGTCTTGTGATTCTATATGGCCGCAAGGAATCTGTCCAACAGCACAATCGCAAGTGGCGCTCCTACAACCCGCTAAGTCTTGAGGAAGTAGTGAAAGGGGCAGAAGTAGCGTGGGGAAATCCGCTATTCCCGAGTGTCGAGGCTGTACGCCTTATGATTGAGAATGGGGGGAAGCAAGCAAACCCTCCACCACGGGCGCGGGGACCTGTGACAGGCATTGCTGGAAGCTCTGTAAATGTTGATTTAGATGTTCGCAGGAGATATGATAGACAGGCAGTTTAATGATACCCCTTTTTAATATCGCACTCAATACACTCTGATATATGCTCGCATGTGCTTCATAGCTGGACTTTACGGTGGATTTCACATGGCAGAAACAAATGTCAATGCAGCAGGTCATTGCAATCACTCAGGGAAATCTCTCACAACAGGCGAAATGCCTGTTTGCAGGTTTGCAAGGTATCAATAACTGTAGCTTGCATATCTTCCCCCTGTTATGCCGTGCTATTTATCGCAAAATTGGGTAAAACGGCCACCAACGAGCAGCAACAACCAAACAATCAGAAACCAATTATGCTTCTGGATGTTGTTCTACCCCGCACCTAGAAGCAATTCTGCTGCCTGCAGAGTAGCGCGATATCTCATACATACGCCGACGCGCCGTTTCCATGTGTTATGCCTCTATGACCGTTTTTGCTGCAATCCGGCGAGCCCACCATATCCCCATCCGTTACCCGTAATTGTACGCCGGTCGCTAATGTCAAAACCTTCAAAAACTGCGCCAAGAGCCATCCGCGAATAGCGGAATTCGTTACGTCGTCCAAGTTCGTACCCAGATCTAAACATCGGCATCATTCATCTCATTTCCGCTAGGGCCACAAATATCCGATACGGGATCCAATACTTCTGACGAGCTGAACGCATCGTCGGAATTCTCCCATTCTATCTCCTTTTAGCCAAAGTCATATTCTGTAAAGGGGTATCAACAAACCTGAAACCTCATCTTCAGCCAGTTCGTCAACTGTCAGCCTCTTCAGCTGCGAAAGCACGCCTACATATTGTTTAGCACACGTCGTGGTATCATTTGGAAATAGGCACTCACTGGTATAATAGTCTTGAAATGGTATTTCATCAGGGTTCTCGATCGCGTCGTCGTAGTATGGCTTGCAAGCTTCAATGACCGCCAGGATATTCATGATGTTAGCCTTCACCGCTTCTGCCCTCCGCCTGACGTGTTTCTCATGGAGATATCGAAGGCATGCAATACCAAGCAGCCGTATGGTAGATGTAATGACCTGAGAATTCGCTTGAGCCTCGGTGGAAATATCGTCAGGTAGCTGCGCTCCATGACGGAAGAGAGTTGATTGAAGATAGTCTTCTGTTTCGCGCCGAATTGCTGACTCGTCATGAGTAAGTAGGTTAGGTGCCCACACCTGAATTTGGTCAACGGCAAAGCGGAAGAATGCACCGTGGTCGATATTGGGGTTTTTGGAGGGAACCTCAAGAAGCTCTTTGAAGAATCGAAGAAAATCTCTACCCTCAGAGCTGTCAATACCGCGAGCGACGTTGCTGACATGGTAAACCATCTTTTCAATGCTTTCCATCGAGTCTACGGTGCGGCAATATGTCACAGCAGCAGCAAGAAATGGTGCTGCTGACGACGTTGTGCTGGGCGCCTTGCGAATACCCTGGCGGATGGCATTGAAGACGCAGGTGTAACTATCGTCAAAGTGTTCCAGCAGAAGTCCAATTACTGCCTGTGTAGATCGTGGATTCTGGTTATAGTTCAGCAACTTCTCTGTCAAAATGTTCATATTGCCTCTTGTCCAGTGCTGGATAAGAAGATTATACTCGGGGGTACTGAGCGGTAGAAGTGTGTCTTCTTCTGCCAAGGCAAGTCGACTTATACGCTCTGAGATGTGCCCAGCTGCGAGATCGCACGATTTGAGTAAAACCTCCAATAGGCCAATGATATTCTCCAACGAGACAGGTCTCGTAACTGATCTTTTTTGGATAATAGTAAGCATACGCGCGTACTGCGGGTGTGTCGGTAGAGCCGAATCTGCAGTCAAAACTTCGAGTACTTTGAGGAGGAACCCCGCGTCAAGAAGGGAGGCTGTCTCAAATGTGCCTAGTCCCACAATGCGAATTAGGAGGCCAAAATATTCTGGCCAGGCCTTTATGCTCATGTGGAAGCTATCCCAGAACCTCAGTAGTATGCCGACTACCTTGGCGAACAGCCTTGGGCTTTCGATAAATTCAACGTCGTCCTCAACTTCGCTGCCATATCCACTTAAACCGTAGTCAAATGTGGCATCTTCTTTCACTTTGTTGAGGGCGGCCATAACAGCCAAGGCAATTTCGCTCCGTACCATATGATCTGGGTTTCGCATCAATAGCTGCCTAAATGCTTCTTGGTGGTGTGCCAGCCAATCTAAGAAATCCTCGCAACAATCAGTGCAGGATTTTAGTCTGTGGCATAATGTCAGCATGTATGTGCCGAAATCCGGAAGATCTTTCGC